GTTGTGCACCGGGGCCTCCCACTCCTCTTTCTATTCTGGTTAGAGCCAGTTTGCGCTGTTCTGACATTTCTAAGTGACCCCAAACTGTTGAACGGTAGTGTAGGTGTTCCTTGTGTGCAGTTGTTAAAGGGCAGTGTGGAGTGCAATTGAGATTGCGTCATCTGTGGATCTGTTGGGGCGGTATGCGAATTGGAGTGTGTTTAGGGTTTCCGGGATGATGGTGTTGATGTGAGCCATGACCAGCCTTTCAAAGCACTTCAGGGCTACTGACGTGAGTGCTACGGGGCGGTAGTCATTTAGGCAGGTTACCTTCACTTTCTTGGGCACAGGGACTATGGTGGTCTGCTTGAAACATGTAGGTATTACAGACTCGGTCAGGGAGAGGTTGAAAATGTCAGTGAAGACACTTGCCAGTTGGTCTGTACATGCTCTGAGTACACGTCCTGGTAATCCGTCTGGTCCCGCGGCCTTGTGAATGTTGACCTGTTTAAAGTTCTTGCTCACATCGGCTACGGAGAGTGTGATCACACAGTCATCCGGAACAGCTGGTGCTCTCATGCATGCTTCAGTGTTGCTTGCCTCGAAGTGAGCATAAAAAGTATTTAGCTCGTCTGGTAGGCTCGTGTCACTGGGCAGCTCGCGGCTGGGTTTCCCTTTGTAGTACGTAATAGTTTGCAAGCCCTGCCATATCCGACTAGCGTCAGAGCCGGTGTAGTAGGATTCAATCTTAGTCCTGTATTGATGCTTTGCCTGTTTGATGGTTCGTCTGAGGGCATAGCGGGATTTCTTATAAACTTCCGGATTAGTGTCCCACGCCTTGAAGCGGCAGCTCTAATATTTAGCTCGGTGCGGATGTTTCCTGTAATCCATGGCTTCTGGTTGGGATATGTACGTACGGTCACTGTGGGTACGACGTTGTCAATGCACTTATTGATGAAGCCGGTGACTGAGGTGGTATACTCCTTAATGCCATTGGATGAATCCCGGAACATATTCCAGTCTGTGCTAGCAAAATAGTCCTGTAGCGTAGCATCCGCGTCATCTGACCACTTCCGTATTGAGCGAGACACAGGTACTTCCTGCTTTAGTTTTTGCTTGTAAGCAGGAATCAGGAGGATAGAATTATGGTCAGATTTGTCAAATGGAGGGTGAGGGAGAGCTTTGTATGCGTCTCTGTGTGTGGAGTAAAGGTGGTCTAGAGTTTATTTTCCTTAGAGACATTTGCTGGTAGAAATGAGGTAAAACGGATTGAAGTTTGCCTGCATTAAAGTCCCCGGCCACTAGGAGCGCCGCTTCTGGATGAGCATTTTCTTGTTTGCTTATGGCGTTATACAGCTTGTTGAGTGCGGTCTTAGTGCCATCATCGGTTTGTGGTGGTAAATAGATGCCTACGAAAAATATAGATGAAAACTCTCTTGGTAGATAGTGTGGTCTATAGCTTATCATGAGGTACTCTACTTCAGGCGAGCAATATCTCGAGGCTTCCTTAATATTAGACATCGCGCACCAGCTGTTATTGACAAATAGACACACACCTCCACACCTCGTCTTACCAGATATAGCTGTTCTGTCCTGCCGATGCACGGAAAACCCAGCCAACTGTATATTATCCATGTCGTCGTTCAGCCACGACTCGGTGATATTACAGTTTTTAATGTCCCGTTGGTAGGATAGTCTCGAACGGAGAACATCCAGTTTATTCTCCAGTGATTGCACGTTGGCCAATAGAACTGATGGTAGAGGCGGATTACCCACTCACCGACGAATTCTCACAAGGCACCCCGATCTCCGCCCTCTGTATTTCCGTATTTTCTTCACGCGAAGAATAAGTTACAAACAATGCGAAACAACACACAAAATAGCACAGTTGGTTAGGAGCCCGTAAAACGGCAGCCATCCCCTCCGGCGCCATTATCAATCACTGGTTACGTGTGAAGATACAGCATACTTTGCTGGAGTAGAAAGTATGAGTAAAAAGTGTGTGATGGTAAGAGTGAGGCATTCTGAACTGAAGGTTTTCAGATGAGGTCGTGAAGTAAGAATTGTGGAATTCAGCAACTAACACGATTGACTCATTCTCATTCTACACATTCTTTAGGGAATCTTCTGCATTCCCTTTGTAGGGTCACTTAGGCCTTATGTAGGAAGGCAGATGTCCTAAAGAATGGGTAGAATGGGAATATCTTGCTCTTGCTGTCACTTGTTTTTTTTTTATGCATGTGCTTTTTACCCCAACAAAGTCTGTTGTAGGTATAGCTCAAGTGAAAGATGTGATGTTCATCAATGATAAAGTATATTTTATATTATTGGAACAGATAAGACAGGAAAATATTGCCACCCAGTGGATAGACGTTTTCAAAGCCTGTTTTGCTGGCTGTGTAAGGCAGAATAATTATTATCGGTTTGATAGACAGCCATCAATAGGCAGGTAAAAACAGCTTCTGACATAAGCTTGAGAATCACCCTTATACCTTGAGGCTCATGAAGGAGGAGGCCTCTACTTTGTGACAGAGAATGACAACACTTTCAAAATGGTAGGAATAAAGATTTATTTTCATATGAAGAGGTGGTTTGGATTTTTCTTTTACTTTTTTACAAGTATGTTTTGATAAAACTTGCAAAAGACTTCTAGCATATCCCAAGAATGGAGACATGAGAAAAGGGGATTTATTGCTGAATGTTAAAATGAAGACACTTCACTGAGTGGAAAACAATTTCCTTGCTGCTTTTTCCATGCACCCAACTACCTGGACCGCTAGGACATGCAGGGGGGTGGGGTGAGAGGAGAGAGGGGGGTGGTGTGAGAGGAGAGGGGGAGGAGGGGGCGTCAAGGAGACGAGGACAACTGCTGGACAAACACAAACAATGGTTGTGTGTGTGTGTGCGTGCGTGTGTGAAAGAGTAAATGTGGAAGGTCGGAAGGATTGGTTGCAAGGGAAGGCGGTAAGGGGGATTTTACATTTCAACTACCTCTAGAAGCACACTACCCTCACTGGCAGTATCCCACATTGCAAATCCCAGATTGAATACAGTGATATTAAGACAAACTAGCCAGAACTTTGGGCCATGAAAATAAAATGTATTTCTCTAAGTGATATTTGACAATAATCCTCTGAATTCATCAAAGGAGTTGGTAGTAATTTTTATAAGGTACTTATTTTTGTTATTTTTTTTGTGATACATGCATCTCCTGTGAGACTCGACTGGTAAAGGGGCACATTTATATTTTCATTTAAAACTAACTCCTTTTTCCTTTAGGGAGCAGGACTCTCTCTGTCCATTTCATCTCATAGTATTTCTGAGGTGAACCCTTTCTGAGGAATGCCTGTGACCCATAGCGGAGTGGACAAGCTGTTGTCCTGTGTAAGTGTGACCTGTCCCATGATAATAGGTTATGTTATACTCTATGATGTGATAGTCAAGATGGGGGGGGGGGGGGGGGGTCGGACAGAGACAGACACATACCAGATCATTCAGTCAATATGACCAAGCAAGGTATACATACGTATGTTAATAATAAAGGTATAGGAATGCAAAAAAGGATGCAATAATCGATAATATCATACTGTCTGTTGATTAAAAAAAGACAAACCAAATAGACTCAAACATACTTCAGTCAGTCAGTCAACGCAAGAGAAACTTTGCAAAAATTAACCTTTGTGACTTGTCACAGCAAACAGCAAACCAGTGCCTTCATCACTATGAGCCAATGCAATCATCATCATCACAGAACAATCCTGTGTCATTACACTGTCATAGAACAATCATCTAAGAGTCTCAACATGAACTACATTTTCAGCATGTTTTGGCATTTTTTAAACCCCACTTTTCTTTTCAAGTTTCAACAGTTTCCAAAACTCCCTACTACATCCCACATGAAAACAGACAAGGACGAGGGACATAATGGATCTGGCCTATGGACCATGGTGGTTCTTGGGAAATTGAGTATTTTTCTTGATGGGTTGTGAAAGTCCTGAGACACAGTACGGCTTTAGTTAAGCTGCTGGCATAGGAACAGGAGAGGGCAGTCCATGTAGGCCAGAATCAGGCTGGATTGGTAGCTCCCTGGCCAATGAATGCTCATGGAAGGAAGTTTTACAGTGCAATGGAGCTTCTGGCAGCATGAGGATTGGCCGGTTGAGTATGTCAGTTTAACAGTGACCACACCCTCATAGCTGAATGGACACACTCAGGGTTCCCCTGCTGTGCCTGTGAGCAGACTACAACTCATCATGGAGCATGCGTATGTACGCGTACACACACACAGACACACACACACACACATACACTACACTCACATTTAAAAACCCTGAACACCTGTGCAGGTACCTTGGATCACAATACACATACGATGACAGATGATGACATGAATGACTGATGTAAGTTTGTTGGAGCGACTCATCAAAAACTAGCGCATCACTTCCTGTACCAGGACAGGACACCACATCCAGTTGCGTCTGTGATAAATGTCCCCCGTGAAAAAACAACTGCGTGTGGATCATAAATGTAAACATAAACCTTTACACAGGAGTGATTCATATTGCATGATGACAGAATCATATCACAGTTCAAACAGGGAGATCCTAAATCAGAGGAAGTCAAAGTAAAGAGGTCTATAAAATGAGGAGTCTGTATTAGAAAGGCTACAAAAACTCAACTGGACCTCCGGCTTCAGCACACAGCAAAAGGCACCACAATATTATTCTATTATCTAACTCGTGAAAAAATTGGCACAGAATATTTTTTTTGTCTCTCATAATGCTGTAAATCAAAGACTTTACATATAAATATTTTTCCCCTATAAAAAAAGTATTTGCTGTTAGCTAGTAGACAATTTTTGCTGAAATGAAAATAAATATTTCATTTGTTTAGAATATCTGTCTGTTATACAAAATAAAAATATTTATCCTAGGTGCATGTCTCTACTCCACTGTTGTCTTTAGGTGGGTCAGGGGGGTCGGGGTCAGGGGTCAGAGGTCAGGGGTCAATGTGGGCGGGTCTTAAAGGGGTGCGTTGTCATGTTTGGAGGAGCGCGACTGGGGGTTTTTACTGTGTCCGTTGCTGCGGGTGCTTGGCCGCCCCTGCGCCCGGTGAGTCCGTATGTCAGTGGTGGCGCCAGGGGTGGTAGATGATCGGCACCCACGTTCGCACGGCTCCATGTTCATGTTCTGCATACTGAGGAAGGGCGTGCTCTCCCCGTGCCCCTCCTCTTCCTCCTCCTCCTCCTCCTCTGATTGGCTGAAGCTCTGAGAGCTGTAGTCCCGTAGGCCCATTGCACGCTGGGAGACGTGTCCGTTGAGGCGGTTCCGACGAGGGCGCCGGCGGCTCCTGATTGGCTCGCGTGAGGAGGCGTACTCCTGCGTGGTCTCGTAGGCCTCGTCGTCAGGGAGATGGTAGGGGCTGGACGGAAGGCTGCCCGTGCTCTCTGTCAGGTAGGGTCGGCGTGGGCGACGGGGCTGCCGGTACAACCGTCCATCCTGCAGGGACAGAAACAGAGATGAGACCGTCTCAGAAACACAACATCACACACTAGCTACTCTAGTCTACAACTAACATCGTACACTACCCACTCTAATCTACAACTAACATCATTGTACACTAGCTACTCTAGTCTATAACTAACATCATTGTACACTAGCTACTCTAGTCTATAACTAACATCATTGTACACTAGCTACTCTAGTCTACAACTAACATCATTGTACACTAGCTACTCTAGTCTATAACAACACGATAAGGAAGTGGAAAATATGACTCATGAATCACAGTTGTAAAAATGTCTGCTTTCTGCCATGTGTGTAGTCATTAGTGAGTGTAGCGGCAGGGTCATGGTCACCTGAGGGCATCTCAGCAGGGGCTGGTCGTCCTGCCGGTGGTAGGCTGCGGCGGCGGGCGGCAGGGCGAGGGCGTGGCCCGTGTTGGGGGAGGTGATGTGGAAGGTGGGCACCTGGGGAGACAGCGGGGCGTAGTGGAACTCGACAGGCGACAGACGGGCTGGCGTGGTCAACGCTGACACATACCTGTGGGGAGGGGAGGGGGGAAATGGAGACACAAACACAACCGTCTTAAATCTGGTTCAGAAGCCCAAAACCGAGACAGTAGACAACAATTCATTTTGTGGTTTTTACAACTACAAAATCGTTGGCGAAGATTCAAACTAGTCGTCCCACCTGTCGCTGTGAGGTGAGTCTCTCAGAGAGTCGTAGGAGTCTCCATACTGCAGGCTGCCTCCCTCAGAACAGCCCCAGTAGGCGGCCCTCTGTGCCCGTGCCTGCATGCAGGTCGGGCTGCTGCATTTACTGGTGCCCACAGACGAGGAGAGCGCCCCCGACTGGCAGTCTGAGTTCATACTGTCTGTCCTCTCTATACTCCAGGTCCGCTCCTCGTGTCTACAGGGAGAGAGAGACGGAGTAAGTAACGAGAAGGCTTTGTGACATTTCAGATTCGCAGTAATGCCCTGACGTGTGTGTGTGTGTGTCTATGTGTGTGTGTGTGTGTCTATGTGTGTGTGTCTATGTGTGTGTGTCTGTGTGTGTGTGTGTGTGTGTGTGTGTGTATGTGTGTGTGTCTATGTGTGTGTGTGTATGTGTGTCTATGTGTGTGTGTGTGTCTATGTGTGTGTGTCAATGTGTGTATGTGTGTGTGTGTCAATGTGTGTGTGTCTATGTGTGTGTGTCTATGTGTGTATGTGTGTATGTGTGTGTGTGTCTCTATGTGTGTGTGTCTATGTGTGTGTGTGTCTATGTGTGTGTGTGTGTGTGTCTATGTGTGTGTGTCTATGTGTGTGTGTCTATGTGTGTGTGTTATGTGTGGTGTGTGTTGTGTAGTGTGTGTCTATGTTTTGTATGTGTGTCTATGTGTGTGTGTCTATGTGTGTATGTGTGTCTATGTGTGTGTGTGTGTGTGTGTATGTGTGTCTATGTTGTGTGTGTGTGTGTATGTGTGTCTATGTGTGTGTGTGTGTGTGTGTGTGTGTGTCTATGTGTGTGTGTCTATGTGTGTTGTGTGTGTAGTGTGTGTGTGTGTGTGTCTATGTGTGTGTGTGTGTGTGTGTTGTGTGTGTGTGTGGTGTGTTGTGTCTATGTTTGTGTGTGTTTGGTGTGTGTGTGGTGTGTCTGATGTGGTGTGTGTGTGTGTTGTGTGTGTGTTAGTTGTGATGTGTGTGTTAGTTGTGATGTGTGTGTTAGTTGTGATGTGTGTGTGTGTCTATGTGGTGTGTGTTGTGTGTCTATGGTGTGTGTTGTGTTATGTGTGGTGTTTGTGTGTGTGTTGTGGTGGTGTTGTGTGTGTTTGGTGTGTTGTGTGTTGTGTGTGTGTGTATGTGTTTGTTGTGTTGTGTCTATGTGTGTGTGTTGTGTGTGTGTTGTGTGTTCTATTGTGTGTGTTTGTGTTCTATGTGTGTGTTATGTTGTGTGGTGTGTGTGTCTATGGTGTGTGTGTCGTTTTGTTGTGTGTTATGTGTGTTATGTGTGTGTGTGTGTGTGTGTCTTGTGTGTTGTCTATGTGTGTTGTGGTCTATGTGTGTGTGTATGTGTGTGTGTCATGGTGTGTGTGTGTGTAAGTGTGTGTCTGTGTGTGTGTGTGTGTTGTCTATGTTGTGTATGTGTGTCTATGTGTGTGTGTGTGTGTGTGGTCTATGTGTGTGTGTCTATGTGGTGTTGTGTGTGTCTATTGTGTGTGTGTTGTTGTGTGTATGTGGTGTCTTGTGTGTGTGTGTTGTGTTGTGTCATGTGTGTGTGTCTATGTTGTTGTGTGTTATGTGTGTTGTGTGTCTATGTGTTGTTTGGTGTGTTTGTGTGTTAGTGTGTGCTGTGTGTGTTGTTGTGTGTCTATGTTTGTGTGTGTCTATGTTGTTGTGTGTGTCTTGTGTGGTGTTGTGTGTCTGTGTGGTGTGTGTTGTGTCTATGTGTGTATGTGTGTCTATGTGTGTTGTGTGTGGTGTATGTGTGTGTGGGTGTGTGTCTATGTGTGTGGTCTATGTGTGTTTGTGTGTGTGTGTCTATGTGGTGTTGTGTGTGTCTATGTGTGTGTGTGTCTATGTGTGTTTGTCTATGTGTGTTGTATTTTTGTGTCTATGTGTGTGTGTGTGTGTGTGTGTGTGTTCTATGTGTGTGTGTCTGTGAGTGTATGTGTGTCTATGTGTGTCTGTCTATGTGTGTGTGTATGTGTGTGTGTCTATGTGTATGTGTGTGTGTCTATGTGTGTGTCTATGTGTGTGTGTTTATGTGTGTGTGTCTATGTGTGTATGTGTGTCTACGTGTTTATGTGTGTCTATGTGTGTGTGTGTGTGTGCGTGTGTGTCTATGTGTGTGTGTGTATGTGTGTCTATGTTTCTGTGTGTTACAACAGCACCTGGAGTTGTGGGAGACTGTAGATGAATGGTGGGATCTGGTGGATATTCGGCTTCCTGCGTAGTTTACGGCTTCTTCTGGTCCATGCTGTATTATACTACACTCTGTGGTAGGAGCGTTCTTTGAGATGTACTGTGAAGAGAAGAGAGAGATATGCATTGTGGGAGCTGTATAGGCATGGGCGATATGGCAATCTGTCTCTCTATCCCACGGCTTGCAGACAGCCCTGACTCTAGACATACTGTATGCTGTGTCAGCAGGCTTCAGGCCAAACTGGAATAAGGACGTGTTATAACACCTGTTACAAACAAAACAAATCTGTTTCTGAGCCTGAGGTAGTTTGTAGGCCCTGTACACACTCAGTTTGTACAACTGGTGTACAATGCATTTGACAAAACAATTGTGATCCAACGGAAGGTTTGTCTGCACAAAAACGTTTACACAGCGGTTTTCGAGACACAATGGTTGTGTAAAAAAATGTGTGCAGACAAACTCTCTGTAGTATAACAGAAATATCAGTTGTACCACAACCGTTGTGTCAAATGCGTTGTACATCAGTTGTACAACCTGAGTGTGTATGGGGCCGTAGTGACTCACGTCGACCATGGGGATCTCCTCAGGGCCTGGCCCAGGGTGGTTGGGTCCGTTAGCCAGCATGTGATTGGGCTGCTCCACACATTGGTTCTGGTTAACGTTCTGGTTCAGGTGGCCATGCATCTTCTTCCTCTGCTTCCTGTAGGACATACGCAAGAAAAAGTGTAATGACTTATTGTTCTAGAATACATTGAGAAAGATAGTAGATAAGGAAAGATAGTAGATAAGGAAAGAAAATGTTGATAGGAAAATTTAAATAAATACAAACTACAGTGTGACAGTCATTTTACAAATTATGTTCCGTGTCATCAAAATATCCGGCTTCAAACATTAATACGTTTTTATATAGAATGAGTTAGTAAAGCTCATCTATAAGGTTTGAAAGCTGTGACATTATAGCTGTGATCATTGTGCAGGCCCCAGTCAGTGAATGCCTCCTGGGCTCCGTGAACAACTGGTTGAAATGATGTCATAATGTACGTACTTGGTTTTGCAGTATGCCGCCACACAGACCATGCCCACTACCAAAAGTGCCACACAGATGCCTGTGATGGTCAACACCCGCCGCTGATACAGCTCCTCTGCCTCTGTGAACAAACCACACACACACACACACACACACACACACACACACACACACACACACACACACACACACACACACACACACACACACACACACATACACACATGTGTGAGCGCTACTCTACGGGAACAATCAAACAAAAGCTAACTCAGCTCCTCCTCTTACCCTGAATACTCTGACATCACTGACCTCTGACATCTAACCTCCCTGAAAGTAACTAATTGTCTTCCTCCTCCACCTTAGTAGTGCTAAAACCTTAGACAAACCCAAAACTAACTGTGATGGTACCAACCCTGTAGATTAACAGTGGTTTAGCCACAACATAGACTATTTCCCCTCTGCTTTCCCTACATGCACTAATGTACCATAATGTCTATGGAATGTATGTCAAAGAGGTCTAAGGACACATGCCTGTATGATGGAATCAGATGATTATCATAAGAGAAAAAGCATTTTAGAGCAAAAACACCACAATGGTTTGGGGATATTCATAAAACTCACCGGCAACTAAATAAACACCTTTAAATTGACCAGAGAACGCATGGGTATAGAACTCACAGATAGCTCACAGTCCCCATACGTTAACGAGGGAAATATACTGTAGCTTTTGCATGAGAGTTATCATTCTTTTGCAATGTTTAATGTGGTTTTCTGATCATTTGTGTCAGATGAAAAGTGTCTAGAATCTCTGTTGTCATGGTGAAGCTTTGTGAATACCTCCCTGTCAGGTGTTCTGATGGCATTTAACTGACCAATGAACAGAAGGCTCGTTGTGGCGGAACATTGTCAGCAGATAAGTCACAATGACAGAGAAAAACAAACAGAACATGGGGAGAGGTGGAACGAAAGAAAGAAAGAAAGAAAGAAAGAAAGAAAGAAAGAAAGAAAGAAAGAAAGAAAGAAAGAAAGAAAGAAAGAAAGAAAGAAAGAAAGAAAGAGATGGCCAGACGGTGGAGGAAGAGGGGCTGGGGAGGTGTGGGGAGGGGGTGTTTAAAATGGGGTGGTGGTGGGGTTTTTAGTGCTAAAGGTAGGGGGAGGGGTGTGTCACAGAAGAGGGGACTGATAGGGAATGGGATTGGTGGTTGGCTGCTACTGAAGGAACTAGGTCACTATCACTTGCAGGAGCCTCTGATTCAATGCCAATCGACTTAGGAATGATGAACCTACCACAGCTGGCTGTCTCTATGGAATATAGTCTTATGGGACGCTGTCTATAGTCTCAGGTGTGGTGTTACTGATATATAACCATCAGCAAATTTCTTTCCAGTTTGTCTCTCTGTGACTCAAAAGCTTCACTCATAATGTAGCCCATATATTCTGCTTCTACAGTCTTCCTCTCCATCATCAACATGTCTGTGGCTTTGTTGTCTCCCTCTCTATACAGTAACATAATGGAGTGTACTACAAAGCTTAGTTTCAAGGTTTCCTATAATTGAGAGAGAGGACTAGCATGCATGCAGAGGGACAAGTGTCTTTGGACCTGGTAGGTTAGCGGGCGAGTGACAGATCGACAGATCAGAGAAGAGTTATTGGTTCTAGAGAGATGGTAGTAGTGATGTGTGACTGTGAGAGGATCTTGGCAACTCTTAAAATTAATAATATACAATCAAATGAATAATTGTTCCATACCCATAAATTCAATTCCAAGATGCTCTGCCAACGCAGAAAGTTAGACACAGTGAAAAGGAAAGAGAACAAGTTTCAGATAGTGATCGTCTACATTGGAACATAGATATATAGATAGTAGATACTGAACCATGAGGTTAGTATGGAATCTTTCCGTGACATACAGTAATAATCGTGACTGGCAGGTGCCACGTCCAGTAACAGACAGACAACGCAGACAGCCGCAGCTCTGTGACCCCAGAAATGAAAGAAAGGAAAGACAGAAGCATAACTAATAAAAGAGAGAAGGAATCAGGCAGGAGACATGCAGAGACAGAGACAGAGACAGCCACTTCACTTACTGCCATATTTACTAGACCTCATTTCTGGGGTAAACTAATTATTTTTTTTGACAAAAAAATGAACAAATAAAACAAGATTTTAAAAAAGCAGTGTGCAGTTACTTTCCAACATTTTGGAGATGAGGCTGGTTGGCACAGAAATGGGAGCAGCTTTGTAGGTCGACAGATTAATGACACGTTCTAATTGTGTCTCTCATTGTTTCTTGTGTTTACTAAAAACAGTATATTTTATCACATTATCAACCTATAGCTTCTCTCTGGTCTTTTATCTGAAATGATTATGACAGTGTTTTCTATACAGTGTGAGCACCAGTAGAAAAAGGTGTGCCTTTAATGTACTTGTTGTGATGCCATCCCTGATAGAACAGCCTGGTCTCATAGACTAGTCGTAACATAATAAATGTAAATCCAGGACACTCAAATGAGTATTATATGTTATGTTTGGTATGTTTACATAAGACAGAAGATAACTTAACTTAAACTAAAAGTAGGGTAGTTGGTCAGGTTGTAAGGATAGGCATATAACACGAACATCTAGCAACCCAAAGGTTGCGTGTTCAAATCTCATCACGGACAACTTTAGCATTTTAGCTAATTAGCAACTTTGCAACTACTTACTACTTTTTAGCATGTTAGCTTACCCTTCCCTAACCCTAACCTTTACTCGTTAACCTAACTCCTAACTCCTAACCCTAACCTTAACCCTAACCTTAACCCCTAACCCTAACCCCTAGCCTAGCTAACGTTAGCCACCTAGCTAAGGTTATCATTAGCCACCTAGCTAAAGTTAGCCACAACAAATTGTAATTCGTAACATATCATATGTTTTGCAAATTTGTAACATATTGTATGAATTGTAATTTGTAACACATTGATGATGGGTATCCACAAAGGAATACATATTATACGAAATGTAACATATCATACTAATTGGAGTGTCCTGGATTTACGTTATGTCTACCCCTGAATCCAGGTTGCATAGAAAAGAGACTGATCATTGCAGGATTAACCAAATATAATATATAAAGCTGTCATCAAGGCAAAGGGTGGCTACTTTGAAGAATCTCAAATATAAAATATATTTTGATTTGTTTAACACTTTTTTGGTTACTACATGATTCCATATGTGTTATTTCATAGTTTTGATGTCTTCACTATTATTCTACAATGTAGAAAATAGTAAAAATAAAGAAAAACCCTGGAAAGAGTAGGTGTGTCCAAACGTTTACTGGTACTGTATGTACTGTAAATAGTATGTAGTATGTATATATTCATATTGTGCCCCCACTAGCTGTTCTCTAGGCTTAAACCAATAGACATGTGGAGAATGATGACAAACTAGTTCAAAGTGCTTTACTCCCAGCTACTATACTCTGTGCACTGTACTATACTTCCATGGCAAAGAACCGGTCACACAGGCAGACGTAACAGAGCCTGGTAAACAGGACATTGATGGGGCAAACAAACCAAACACTTGAATGATTTGAATATCAGAACTGACTTAGGATGAGCTCTCAGGAAACATTATGCCAATGGGTTATCAGTTGCCCATCTCTCTGGATGAAACATTATGCCAATGGGTTATCAGTTGCCCATCTCTCTGGATGAAACATTATGCCAATGGGTTATCAGTTGCCCATCTCTCTGGATGAAACATTATGCCAATGGGTTATCAGTTGCCCATCTCTCTGGATGAAACATTATGCCAATGGGTTATCAGTTGCCCATCTCTCTGGATGAAACATTATGACAATGGGTTATCAGTTGCCCATCTCTCTGGATGAAACATTATGCCAATGGGTTATCAGTTGCCCATCTCTCTGGATGAAACATTATGCCAATGGGTTATCAGTTGCCCATCTCTCTGGATGAAACATTATGCCAATGGGTTATCAGTTGCCCATCTCTCTGGATGAAACATTATGACAATGGGTTATCAGTTGCCCATCTCTCTGGATGAAACATTATGCCAATGAGTTATCAGTTGCCCATCTCTCTGGATGAAACATTATGCCAATGGGTTATCAGTTGCCCATCTGCAGCAGTACTACTTCTCTACTTCACTAACATCTAGTCAGAACATCACAGATAACTACCGGTCTTCGTATCAAGCATTGCATCTATCTATGCAAGCTGCATAACAGGTGCACCCTGTATATTACATTCACTGTATCATCATCCAGTCTCTACTGCAGCATACTGTGTAGCACATGATCAGGAGGGCATGCATAGGGACCTATGTGTTAAGTCTGATGTCTGTTTCTCTGCATGCACCTCTGTCTGTTATTGAGAGGTCTGCTGATTAACTCCCTCTGTATAAAGGACCAGCTCCAGGTAGGGCACATAGTGCAGGAGAGGAAGGTGAGAGGAATGGCAACAGGAAAGGGATGGACACAGAGGCATGCACATACACACACACGCGCACACACGCATACACACACACACACACACACACACACACACACACACACACACACACACACACACGCATACACACACACACAGGTAGGTATCCACCTCCAGAGCATGCAGCAGTGTCCCAATGAGGAAGACAGACAGACATAGAGAGAGAGAGAGAGAGAGAGAGAGAGCGAGAGAGAGCGACCGACAGACAGACAGACAGACAGACAGACAGACAGACAGACAGACAGACAGACAGACAGACAGACAGACAGACAGACAGACAGACAGACAGACAGACAGACAGACAGACGAGGAGGAGGAGGAGGAGGAGGAAGAAATGAACATACTGTAAAAACCTGCCATGACGGATTTTTGACAGCGATCACCTGTATAGTCATTTGGACACCTAATGGGGGAAACAAGCCACAGAACGAGAGGAGGGAGGGAGGGAGGGAGGGAGGAGGAAATAGTAGGTTGAGAGACAGAGGAGGGAGAGACCAAGGGAGGGAGGGAGGGACACAAGAGAGCAGAGAACATGGAGTTAGAAACAGAGCACAACCTAACAGTATGTGACAGAGGTACAGAGAGCGTTATCAAAGACAGTACAGTATGAAGATATGCTTCTCCAATAGAAATCCCCGATCACACTTGTAGGCGATGTCATGGTGACGTTAGCTAGCATAGCTCATGCATAGAAACACGTCATTGGATCTAACGGTTGTGTCGCGCTGAACTGCGCATGTACATCAAATAAAACTCCTTTGATATAAAGTTGTTTTTGACAAAAATGAAAATATGTCAGTTGGTCACTTTCACGAGGTTGTAGTAATGACAGGTTCAGGTTGTGCCTTTAGAATACGAGAATATTAACAACTAAGGACACATTTTTCACTTCTCCCATTGACTTGCCAAACCCCGGTCTGGTCTGTCGAGTCTGCTTTGCGACGTGTTTCCAGAAGTATCGCAATGTTGCACCTCTGGGTTTGAAAACTCAGTGGCGTAATGACATTGCTGTGACATCCTCACTATGAAGTCAATGCTATGACATCATTGCACGTGGAAGGCTGGAAGGAGTCAGAGCTAAAAACATCAGCAGAAACACCCCCTAGACATGACTGCTGGACAGGGCTTGTTTCCCAAGATGCACTTTCATAGAGGTTGGGCTTGAAAAACTGCAAAGGCTAAGTCTGCAAGGAAGCACCCCTTTGCTGAATGACCTCATAGACATCTAGGAGAGAAAGGTGGGGGATTGGAGTACACAGGGCATGTCCAAGTTCTCACACTTACCACACTGTAACTACACTGTAACTACACTGTAACTACACTGTAACTACACGGTAACTACACTGTAACTACACTGTAACTACTGTAACTACACTGTAACTACACTGTAACTACACTGTAACTACACTGTAACTACACGGTAACTACACGGTAACTACACTGTAACTACACTGTAACTACACTGTAACTACACTGTAACTACACTGTAACCACACTGTAACTACACTGTAACTACACTGTAACTACACGGTAACTACACGGTAACTACACTGTAACTACAGTGTGTGAGTCCAGGCAGCATAATTCTCCCTAACACATACATATTCTGATCCCTGATGTTCTAAAACAGCATTTAGTTCAACTCGTCTCACATTTCCTGCATATTCATAACATGCACACAACTGCACAGGATATACTTTTTCCTCATACAGTACCAAAGACACAACTTCACTGTGCATTTTGGATCAATTAAAGTAAAAACCTCTTCCTCGGAAGAGAAGAGCCCACTCAGCAATTTCCCATGCAGTTATAAATAGAGTAGAAGCACAGAGTGGATCTGAGACACTTGAGGCAGCATGCAGGCCCATGCTAGCAGACCCCCCCCCCCCCCCCCCCCCCCTCTCTCTCTCTCTCTCCTCTCTCTCTCTCTCTCCTCTCTCTCTCTCTCTCCTCTCTCTCTCTCTCTCTCTCTCTCTCTCTCTCTCTTTCTCTCACATCCCTCCTCACTTCCTCTCACCCCTTCTATCTCCCCCCTCTCTCTCTCCCTCCATCTCCCCTCTTTCTCTCGCTCTTCTTCTCGCACCCTCTCACTATCATGCTATCTCCATCTCTCTCTCATCTCCCCACTCTCTCTCTCTTCCTCTCTTTTTGTCAGCCCTGAGACCAAGCTAAAGCAAAAGGGAAACAGCCTCCACTCATCTCCACAGAGGGATAAACACACCTCTCTTTTAAACCAGCACTCATCAGAATGAAATAAAATGTAATTCCTACATTTCATTCTCTTGTTCTGTCTCTCTGATGCTGAAGTGGGATTGGAGGGAAAGGGATTTGTCTGAGAACTGCTAACCTCTAACATAGAATGCCAGTGCCACATCATAGCCTGGCTAGTTTGCTTTGTTCATTCAGAACAGCGCCGATCCGTCTAAACAGACTGGCATCTAGGCTCAGTGAGAACACAACATATCTTTAACTTCTCTACGTACAGCTCTGTCACAACATAGCTCTAACTCTGTCTGTGTTTCTCTACCTACAGCTCTGTCACAACATAGCTCTAACTCTGTCTGTGTTTCTCTACGTACAGCTCTGTCACAACATAGCTCTAACTCTGTGTGTTTTTCTCTACGTACAGCTCTGTCACAACATAGCTCTAACTCTGTGTGTTTTTCTCTACGTACAGCTCTGTCACAACATAGCTCTAACTCTGTCCCTCTCCACACAACTCAGACACACAACTCAGGATCAGGAAGAACTACCTTTAATTCACCGGTGACATGACTGGATACACATCTACCTCCCACGGCCTGACAGAGTACAGTGTTCTGTGTAGGTTAGGGTATCAGCCAGCCAGCCAGCCAGCACCCAAATACCTCATGCAGATATTTTGTTAGGCTGTCTGTCGCAGTATGAAACAGAACAAGGTATAACTAAGTCTAGTGTTTAGGCTGTCTGTCACAGTATGAAACAGAACAAGGTATAACTAAGTCTAGTTTTTAGGCTGGTCTGTCGCAGTATGAAACAGAACAAGGTATAACTAAGTCTAGTTTTAAGGCTGTCTGTCACAGTATGAAACCGAACAAGGTAACTAATCTATTTTAGGCTGATTGCGTGTATGGAAGAGCGAGAACAAGGAACAAGTTAGAAGGGAGACGAGAGGAGAAAGAGAGGGATAAGATTGTGGGTGAGGTGTCAAGATAAAGAGCGTGAAGAAGAGAAATAACGAGCAGAGAAGCAGACTGCGGGAAGAGGAAGAGGCAACAGAGAAAAGAAGGGGGAAAGAGAGGGAGAGAGAGGAGAGGGGAAGAGAGAGGGAGAAAGAGAAGGAGAGAGGGAAGAAAGACGAGATAAGAGGGAGAGAGAGAGGGAGAGAGAGGGAGAATGGAAGAGAGGGAAAGAGGGAAAGAGGGAAAGAGAGGGAGAAAGAAGGAGAGAGAGGGAGAAAGAGAGATAGAGGGAAAGAGAGGGAGAGATAGGGAGAGAGGGAGAGAGAGGGAAAGAGAGAGGGAGAGAGGGAAAGAGAGGGAGAGAGAGGGAAGAGAGGGAGAGAGAGGGAAAGAGGGAGAGAGCGGGAGAGAGGGAGAGAGAGAAGAGAGAGGGGAGAGAGGGAGAGAGATGGAAAGAGATGGAGAGAGAGGGAGAGAGAGGGAAAGAGAGGGAGAGAGAGAGAAAGAGAGGGAAAGAGAGGTAGAGATGAAAAGAGAGAGAGGAAAAGATAGGGAGAGAGAGGGAGAGAGAGGGAGAGGGAACGAGACAGAGGGAAAGAGAGGGAGAGAGAGGGAAAGAGAGGTAGAGAAAGGGAGAAAGAGGGAAAGAGAGGGAGAGAGAGGGAAAGAGAGGGAAAGAGAGGGGAAAGAGAGGAAGAGAGAGAGGAGAGAGAGGGAGAGAGAGGGAAGAGAGGGAGAGAGAGAGAGAGAGAAGAAAAGAGAGAGAGGAGAGAGAGGAAAGAGAGGGAGAGAGGGGGAGGAGAGGGGGGCAGAGAGGAAGAAACGAGGGAGAAAGCGCGGACGAGAGCGGGAGAGAGGGAGAGAGAGAAGAGGAGAGAGGGAGAGAGGGAGAGAGATGGAAAGACATGGAGAGAGGGAGAGAGAGGAACGAGAGGGAGAGAAAGAGAAGAGGGGGAAAGAGAGGTAGAGCGAGGGAAAAGAGAGAGAGGGAAAAGAGGAGGGAGACGAGGGGGCGCGAAAGAAGGGAGAGGGAACCAAGAGAGAGGGAAAGAGCGGGACGAGAGAGGGGAAAGATGGGGGGAGAGAGAGGGTCAAGAGAGGGGGAGCAAGCGAGAGAGAGGGAGAGAGAGGGAAAGATATGTTGAGAGAGGTGAAGACGAGGGAGAGAATAGAGAGAGTGGAGACGATGAGGAAGGAGAGATCAGGGAGAGAGGAGGAGAGAGAGCGAGAAGAGAGGGGACGAGCGACAGGCAGCGAGAGGGAAAGAGATGGAAAAAAGAGGGAGAGAGAGTGGAAAAGAGGGAGGAGAGAGGGGAAAGAGGGGGAGAGAGAGGGAAGAGAGGAAGAGGGAGGGGAGAGAGAGGGAAAGAGAGGAGAGAGGAGAGGAGAGAGGGGGAATAGGAAGAGAAGAGGGACAGGAGCGAGAGAGGGGCAAGGACCGAGAGGGAGGAATGAGCGAGGAGAGAGAGAGAGCGAGAGAGAGAGAAGATGAGAGGAGAGAGATAGAGAGAGAGGCGAGCGGAGCGGAGAGAGAGAGAGAGAGAGAGAGAGAGAGTGACAGAGATGAAGGAAAGACACCTAGATGTGGAGAAGCGGACAGACCAGAGATAGGGGAAAGATTAATGTTTGTAGAGAGGAAGAGAAACAGAGGGTTGAAGAGAGAAGAAGAATGACTTTACAATCAACAGGGAAGCATTTTACTGTTGTACCCAGACTAATCCTTGAGAGGATAATTTACAGTGAGAGTGATGACACTTGGCATTCTGTGGCTGGAGAAGGAGATTGGCGATTGGGTTAACAGGGTAAACAACACACAGCTGAAGCCATACAGTGACAGACACAGCAGGAGGACAGGACCACTCACTTACTTGCATGACAGTTGGTTTATACCGTGTATGAAATAACAGTCTCCACCGTTCACACAGTACGACTTCTCTGTGTCGTTACAGCGCTGGGCGTGACTCGAGCCTGGAGACAGGGTAGTGGTCACTATTGAAGAGAAGGAAAGTGTAGAGGTCACTACGGAGAGGGGTAATAAATTGTTACTAAGGAAGAAAGGGAAAGAACGTGGCCGTGGTGGATGTCAAGAAAGAGAGAATAAACATGGTGGTAACTAAGGAAGAGAGAAAGAGCATGATGGTTGTAAAGGAAAACAGAGTCTGTGGTAGTTAATGAAGAAGGTTGAAAGAGTGTGAATGTCATACTGTAGATAGAGGATGGTGTGTCTGTGGACTCACGGCTCTGGACGCTGATGCTGCTCGTAACGTTCTCCTGGCCCAGTGTGTTCTCAACCACACACGTGTAGTTCCCAGAATCCTCCAGCCTCGCTCGGTTGATCTGGACCTTGGAGTTTTTCCTTCAGAGAATGAGAGGGAGAGAGAAGGAGAGAAAGAGAGAGAAAGAGACATGGAGTGAAAGTGATTCATTTGAGTCAATATGAATGGTTGCTCAAAACAGAAACAGCAGGAGTCTTTTTTGGAACCTCTTGTCTTTGCTGTGTGTGAATGTGTGACTGGAGTTTGGCCGGTCTCTGAGACTCACTTATTGGTCTTGATTTTGACATCTTTTCCCCTCTGGAGCTCTCTGCCATCTTTGTACCACTGGAAGGAGGGGCTGGGGTTCCCTGACGCCTCACACTTCAGATACAGCTTCTCCCTCTCCATTAGCGACTGGCCCCGCATTGGCCGCAACTTAGGGGCCCCAGCTAGGAAGAGAGAGAGAGAGAGAGAGAGAGACTTCAATTTATTACTCAATAGCCCTCCAGGTGAACCCTGACCCCAGCTGGCGTTTTGACCTGGGCACTTGACACTTTACTAATTTATTCTCTGTTCCAAACCACCTCCGTTACAGAGCAGCTCAGTATTATGTGACTACATACACTAACACTGGACTGAATCCTGGAGAGTCAGTGTTTTCACCTCGCATTTCTTTGTCTCTTTAAAAAGAGAGGGACGAGTTAAAGCTATTCTAGCTATCCTCTGCTGTGGAGCTTTGATATGGAGCGCTGTGTTTTCCAACCTCACTCTGCCATAAGCTGGCACAGTGTGAATCTCTGGAGACCCTCGCTCTCTTCCCCTTAAAAAATATATCAGCCTGCAACACTGACATGAGCCAGAGCAGGGGAGCACAAAGGAAAGTCCACTATGGAATGACATTTGGGATTTTGCTTGTCAAAAAAGATACACGTCAAATAACGATTTTTGACGTGTCAAATAACACTATTTGACGCATCAAATAAGCTTGTTGACCAATCAGGACCTGAATATGACACATAGTAATTAAACACGTTCATTAATGTTTTACGAAGTTATTACACATATATTACAATATCACTTGTATTTCATATGTCACAGCGATTCACTGACACGTATGCTATGATGCTGGTAAAGTTTTGTCTCGTGCACCTGCTGCCTCACTTGAGCGCAGACACACTTCCCAAAGCTCTGGGACAGTGCTGGTCATAAAAAAAGGTAGCTACCTGATGCATGCAAATAATGTTCTTCCCCAGAAACATCGCAAAACAACAATCTGTTTCAGTAGCTATAGTTAGCTAGCTAGCTATCTAGCTAGGTGTCATAATCTAAAATATCCCTAATTTATAAGACTGTTCTTATTTGATTAATGATGGTCGGACCCACCTATGTGAAGCTAGACACAATAAGGATTAGCCACAATAGTGGAATTTGCGGTTTGCCTTCAAAATTAAAGTTTCTCATTGAAAGTGATGCAAATGAATACAAATAGTGCCATAATGGAATAGATCATGCTAAACGAGTTTGAAATGTTATATAAATTCAACAAAATACAATAATTTGTTAATCTGACAAAAATCTGTTGAGATCACACTGTGGATGTATTAGACTTTAGAATTGCATTGGGGGCATACTTATTTCACTGTCCAGCCTTACATATGGATTGTGGATCAATGACATGGGGTATCAGTCTACTCAGTGACACCTACGCTAAAGTTGCTAGCTACCCCAGAAGTTTCTAATAACATCTGGATCAAAGATATTTGCAAACATTTTTGATCCTGGTCGTAGCTCTTATTGCGGGACTCTGAAGCCACATTTATCGTACCAGTCACACTACTATGTGTATTGAACACTATTCCAGAGGGAAAACAATACAGCCTGGATGTTTTGGAATCTGATAACTCTGAGGAGGACTTTGGGGAAAAAAGCACTTGGGTACTGAGTAGACTGATACCCCATATCATTGATCCCAAATCCTTAGGTAATGCTGTACAGTACAATATGAATGTCGATATGCACAATAGGCTGACTGGGGAGGTGATTTCCCACAGCCAAAGTCCAGCAATAAGAGCTACCATGCTAATATTTGCGTAAACTCTTTACAGTTTTGTTCTGTGGGTGTCACCGAGTAGACTGATACCCCATTTCATTGCTCCACATTCCAATACTCCAACCTTCTTTAACATTATCTAGTCTAAATATGGCATGATTCCACCAATAGTAACAGTGTGCGTCATTTTCAAAGGGTGACTTTTATTTTGAAGGCAAACCAAAAATTCCACTATTGTGGCTAATCCTTATTGTGGCTACCTTCACAGTATATAACCCGGTCCGGTCAAACCTCACTGAAGCAAGCTGGCTGCTTATAACGTTATCTTTGGGCAACAGGGTCAGGTAGCTGGCTAGCTAGTTATTTTCATGAACTGAAGTTACATTTCCATAAGAGAACAAGGAACAACAGCAGCATAGTGCTTGAATAGCTGCAAACACACAGGCATGCACACATACACACACACACACACACACACACACACACACACACACACACACACACACACAAACACACACACACACACACACACAGTCCATCGATAGGTCACTGTTGGATAATTGTGAAAAATAAAGAGCAAACCCTGTTGTTATAGGGCCCTCATTGCATCACCATCTTGCCTTCTCTCTATATATAATGATCCCCTATCTCTCTATACTACGCTCTCCATAATGATCCCCTATCTCTCTATACTACCCTCTCCATAATGATCATTATCTCTCTATACTACCCTCTCCATAATGATCCCCTATCTCTCTCTATATAATAATCCTCTCTCTCTATACTACGCTCTCCATAATAATCCTTATCTCTCTATACTACACTCTCCATAATGATCCCCTATCTCTCTATACTACGCTCTCCATAATGACCCCCTATCTCTCTCTATATAATAATCCTCTCTCTCTATACTACGCTCTCCATAATGATCCCATATCTCTCTAAACTACCCTCTCCATAATTATCCCCTATCTCTCTATACTACGCTCTCCATAATGACCCCCTATCTATCTCTATATAATGATCCACTGTCTCTCTATACTACGCTCTCCATAATGACCCCCTATCTCTCTCTATATAATGACCCCATATCTCTCAAGATATACTCTAATACCCCTTTATCCC